AAAAAAAATAAATAAAAAAATAAAAAAGCAGTCATAGAAACCAGGAAAAGAAAATACTTAGCAAAGAGGAAAAAGGACAGTAGTGTTGGAAGAGACTAGCAGGTAAAGGAGAATGAGGGTGGAGTTTTGTTAGGAGGGAGTTGTTGGCAAAAATAGTTTCAATATCGTGCCAAGGACAGACAGTTGGTTTGAAAAGATGCTTAAGACAGAATTAGTAAAGAACAACAGCTGAGAAATATGACAAATACAGTGCTCAATAAGCCTGAAAGTGAAAGGGGGAGGGATACAGTAGTGAGTGAATGACGTGGCAGGGTTGAAGAGGATTCATTTTTTAGATAGAAATGACCAAGTCACTGTGCCAAAAGAAATAAGAACATAAGTAGGGAAAAAGGCAAAAGAAAGATGATGCTGATGAGGAGGCAGGGTGGAACCACTGGGCCAAGGGGATGAAAACAGATGAGAACTTTCTGCAGTGCAATAAAAAGAAAAGAGAGTTTGCAGGAGGGGAATGGGAAATAAACAGGTTGGTCTGGTAGAGGATAATCACAAGGTATTTTATCAGTTTTCCTTAAAAATAATGAGTACCAGGCCGAAGACACTTTTCTCCCTGGTTTTGTAACAATTACCAGTTCAATTCTACACTTACATGAAGATTTTTCAAGTTCTTGAAATCCCCTTCCTTAATTTCAGTGATTTTGTTGTTCTGTAAATCCAGCAGAGTTGTGTCGGGGGGGAGGTCCCTTGGCACTTTATCCAGACCTAGGGGTAGTAAAAAAGAATAAACAATTGGTTTTGGAAGAAACTCTGAGGAGGGGTCAGTACTTCTCTTAGCAGCATTTTACTTTGTAGTAAACCACAATTTCTAGAACTCATTTCCTAAGAAGTTTATGAAGACGTGTCTGAAAGTATTTTTGTCTCTAAACAGTCAAAAGGAGTTTTATTTTGCTATGTCAAAACAAAATTAATTTATTCACATTTCCATTCCACCCTTTTCTGAGAATATATCTGAGTTATAGCTTGAAGCAAAGGATCCAGTTTGGCAAAAATTACTTAATTTAATTCCGCTAAACTGTGTAGTTAAAAATTGCTTTCAGAAAGAGATATGGTATTTATTCACTTTACTGAACAAAAAGCACTTCCTACTCTTTAAAAGATACTAGGCTTTTTGGAAAGAGGATGATGCTTCATTATGATCATTTCCAGAAAATATACTATTTGTTTTACAGTAACTTGCTGTAACTTGCAGTAAAGTCCACCTTAAAAAAAAACAAAACCCCCACTTTTTTTTCAGCTGAAACGATGTCCAAGTTTTCTGGAGAACAAATCTCTTGGTTTCACTGCAACTGCCAAAAGAACATCAGACAGTTTAAATTAAAGACTCTCTTTGGGACTATTTTCTGAATAGCTGATATGTAAGTCCGATGAAGTCATGGAAATGAAATTATTTAGTGTTAAATAACACTTGCCTTACCCAGCTTTCCTTTCATACTGTGACTTGGAATAGAGCAAATCTTTTTTAGTCACTGTGATTTACCACAAAATTAAAATGACCCATTTCTATCCTAACTAGTCTTTTTTTTTTTTTTACTTTTTCTTTTTTTTTTTCTCCAACAAAATGTGAAACACTAGATGAATGGCAGGAAGGAATAATGAAAATGGACTAATAAAGTCTCTATATGTGATCTAATTTAAGTGAAGCAATCTCAATACAATAAACTTTTTACCAATAAAGCTTTTAACAAATATTTCTGAAAATATACTTGAGCTCTTTTCAGAAAGATCTTTCTGTAATTTTGTTATCTCAATGTGATGAGTCTATCAATATGCTGATAGACTTCATGCTATTGTTCTCAAATTGATTTTTTTTTTAATCTGCATATTTTTAATTAAATGTCAACACTGCAAACACTAAAATGTATTTAAGATGCTTCACAAATCTAAGTGTAAATTTGAATGTTATATGGTTGGTTCTTATTCGGCTGAAATATAGCAAATCATTAAAGGAACCAATCAAATTTTAACAGTCATTGATAAGTCAAGACAATTCAAGTACTGCATGTCAAATATTGATTAATTTGGGATAGTGCTGGAATAAAAAGCCTGAAGAACTCATGTATCCAGCAAGGCAATGTCATTCAGATAGCGTGCACCTGGGGCCTCCTGCTCCCTAAATGAGCATCCCTCTGGATGCATACAGCAGCCACTTGCAGACCATTGCATGATGCCGTGAGTCAATACTGATTTGTAAATGGTGCTCAGTACAGTTGTCTTATTCCATCGCCCAAAATCAAAAATCTTTGGACTTCAAAGTTAGTTATTTGGGGAACCAACTTTTCCTTTCTTCCTATAGTTACTATTGCAAAATTCTGCCATAAATCCTGGAGAGGCCACAGAGCCAGGCACTGGAGTTTTTTACTACAACTGGTGACTCACTGAGAATTCACTAAAGATTTGGCCAGGATTTATCTGCATACAGACAAGGTATCCAACCTGTATTTAGGAACTTGGTCTGAATCTTCCAAAATATCAAGCACCTGGCAGGTCCCACTGGTTCCCACCCCTGCTGGTGCGGGCAAAACCTGCTTATCTGTTGACGTGCTGGGTTGGTGTGGGTGTCTCTGGGAACCCTCACTTTTTGTTGCACCTGGGAAGTTCAGCAGCCTCAAATTCTTAGGCTTTTTTAGCTATTTATTGGGGGCTATTACCAAAATTTGCTTGCCAAATTTCAAAGTATCAAAGACAGTGCTTCTTTTTTTTTTTCGCTTGCAAGTTTTCTAATGTTAGTAAAACAAGTTTCAAATATACAGATCTGATATTTTTCAAAGCTAAATGAAATGTAGAGGGTCATGGCTGATTTTTGATCACATCAACATCCAGAAGTTTTAAACAGAATCATCCTATCTGGGATGAATAACAGCATATACTTATATAAAATGACAAGAGTCAAAGCTAACACCTAATCTTATTTTTCTTACTGATATCTGTGCGTGAGTACACAGATTAAGGTTCTTAATATTTCTGAAATATTACTCCTCATTTAAATGCAGTGGGAAAACTCCCATTACTCTCGAAAGTATAGGACCAAAGTATTAGAGCACTAAATATATATATCTCATTTAAATGCAGTGGGAAAACTCCCTTTACTCTCGAAAGTATCTGACCAGAGCATTAGAGCACTAAATATAAAAAAAAATGTGATACCATATAATTCCATGTTGGTTGTCTTTAGAAAGTGTCTGCTCTCAACAGACAGCAATGATGTCAGCAATGAAGAATTATTTTCCCAAAAGTCCGATCTGTTTAAAATCATAATTCTGTTGTTGGAGGGTTTTGGTCAATTTTTATAGCATTTTTCACATATAATACAAAATTAGTTTGATTATTTACATTCACAGTAGTGTTATGTTCTGGTTGGCAGCACATGCTGGTATCTGTAATTTAAGTGCTTATGGCAAAAAAGGGGTACATTAAAGCTATGCAGATATAATATTATGAGATACCTTTGGAATACACTTTGTAAGAATATTTGGATTGCCACTGAGGGGATAATTTGATAAACATCGAACTTCAAATTTTCAACTGTATATTTCAAGCTTCACTTCCTAAAAGCTCAAGCTTGATCTAAGAATGAGGTAGAACTGAAAATTTCTCAGAACAACTAAATTATACTTTCCTGTTCATGTTCAAAAGATGTAACACATAGATGCAATAAACATATCTATCATATGTTATATGTTATGAGAAGTGATATGCTATCATATAGCATACCATATCTCAAAAAGAAAAGGTTGTATAATTTCATCCTCCTGTTAAAAAGAATAAAGAAAAAAAAGGCTATAGAAATGATATTTTTCTTCCCTGATTTGTCTGAGTTTTGAATATGTGAAGAACAAACCACCATGCACAACTTAGCGGGAAAGACGCACCTCTGGTGCTGTAGAAAGAGTGCAGTTTTCATTAAGCAGTTTAATAAGTACTATATATCCACCATCTGAAAGCTGAATCAGCTAGGGCCATTGGAGGAAAAGTTTGCAAATGGGTGGATCTGGATGCTGCTTGGTAAAATCAGCAGTTTAATAATTCAGGACTAAATTGCATTTGAGGTGGGGGCTGGATCCAAGTGTTTCATCACTTGTCACATCTCAGTTGCCTCCTCGAGGTGTGCTTGGGATGCAGGTCCTGGTCTCAAGAGCCACTTGTATCTAGACCATGTGCAAGAGCAGTGGCGTGATACAAACCTGGCTCTGTGCTCGAGCTTTCCTGCCTAGAAGGCAAAAATCCGAGTCAGTGTAGAGAACTACACTGTCAATGTTGAGGAATGAGGGATTTTGTACTATCTTGACAGCATAACTAAATTTGAATGTAGTCTAGCAAATCATAATCCCCCTAGGAACTGAAATGACTGTTGACTCCATCACTAGGATTAGCACGACCCATGAGGATTTTTGACCCCTCTGGCTTGGATGCTAAAGTTTTCAGGGGGAAGTTGTAGGGTGTCCTTACTACTTCATTTCATAGAACATCAGGTGATGAGCATTCCTTTCTCAAGCCATGTGTGAATACTGTATGTCCACCTGCAGATCCCTTCCAGTGAAATTTATGCAATAACATCTCAAAGGGAAACTGGTGTGGGAAAATACCAATTGAGTCAATGCTTAATAGTTTTAAGAAGGGTTTTCACAAGTATTCCCACTGTTGGCGGTGACTTTATATATTAAAGCTTGCTTCCTAAAAAGTCACATGACAACCCCTCATAGCAGTTCAGTTTTTCATGTAAATTAACAGTGCTGTACAGTTTGGTATTCGGTTCCCTGAAAACATTCAAGCCTCTAGTTCTGAAGACTAACTTATAACTGACTAAAGATCTAATTTCTTCTGCCTTTCCCACTTCATAGTGCATTAACAATGCATATAGTTTTATTTATTTTGATTAAATAAGACTAAATCCATTATTATTTAAGTTGGTAAATACATTATTAATCTACTTGTTCACATAATAAGCAGAAATGGTGTGACTCCATTCTTCCACGCAGAAATTAAGAACCTAAACATCCTGGAAATTTAGGGACTGAACAAGTCTGAGCTTCCACAACCATAAAAGCTATTGCCATTTATGCTGTCATCTTTTCAGGAAACAATCATGACTTTCAGCTGTCAACTAAGCCCCCATTAATTCTTGCAGCAAGCTTGGAGTATTCTGCGTAGATGTCTACAAGTAGGAATTGTCTTAAATTCTATATTACCAACATATAGCACTCAGCTGTTCCCCCAAGGAGGCATGTATGTACACAAATATGCATCTATGTGAGAATATCCTCAAATTTTCCGTTTCTGAACAGAAATCAAGCTTGTTTTTATGGAATCCTATCTATATGGGACATTGCTCCATGTCACAATGGCTTAAGTGAAGTAGTGGTATGCAATTGAATTACTGCTTATCTGAGATTGCCTTTCTACCTGGAGAAGACAGAATCTGGACAGGCTGTACATCACCAGATCAGAGATTAGGCAGAAAAGAGCCAAACTAATGGCATTTTGAAGTAAAAGCTGTTTTAAATCAGCCCTTTTCCACTGCGTGAGAAAACAGCAGTCAGATAGTTCCTTTGCAGTACTGCACCAGCCCAAATATTACATGCTGCCATTCATCCTGCCAAACAGGTGTGGGAGATGTAGCAAGAATTTGGGAATATTGTGAGGACTAAGGGAGATTAAGGGGTTTGTTCTACTAGCCAGGACCATTCCTTTTGCAGCCTAGGGAA